CATTGCTGCCTCATATCCCCCCTACAGTGCAGCAGACAGCACTCAGAAAGCACTAAAAGGCTGCTGGCGCTTATATCCCTGCCCTTCTACTGTACTGTCACTGTGTTTTTGAACACAACAACATCCAATTTGTGTCAAACAGAAACCCAAGACTCTATTCTCACAAATTAATGAAACAATATTATACTGATTCTGCACCTTTTGTGCTACACAGCAAGAAGCACCAATGTAATATTAGGGATGGACTGATATTGAAATTCTGGACCAAGACAGACACCTGATTTTTCATGTATGGGTGTTTATGCCACTACAGGCACTTTTGGTTGGTAGATAATGGACCTGAATTTCAAGCATCTGAGTCTGTAATACAAACTGAATTTGTCTTCATACTCTGAGCTGCTGCTGTAAGGATAATGATATCATCACTGTTTTAAATAGCATGGTCTGTTACATTACAAGCTCTGATATATCTGAATTTAGTTCTAATATATTTGAGTCTACCAAGAATATGAAATTGTTTCAAAAGTCACAAATACATGACCTATAACCTGTGCTTATATATGTTGATTTTTCAAGTGAAGTTAAGTGAATACATCCTCTACAGAGAACACACTTCTGCACATTTTAATGCACAATAACTTGCAATAAATAAATAAATTAACATATTGGGGGGAGAATAAAACATAAAATGTGACCTGTGCAAAAGTTTGTTTTATTTTTTTTTCCAATATGTTAAACTTAGCAAATAAATAGAAGTTGTGTATTTAAATTTAGCAGAAAAGGCCATAGTTAAGCGTGTTCTCTGTGTTAAAGTATTCTCTGTATTAAGGTATTTTCACTTAAAGGATCAACAAGACATGTATTTTCATCAAGAGTGTTCAAACTTTACGTTTCCTTCGAAAGTAGGGCTGTTTGATTAAACTTTATGTGGTTATGCTGGACCCCTGTACATACCATATGTTATGTTAACGGTTTCATAGCCTTCATCAGGGGTCTTCAACCCTGGTCCTGGAGGATCGGTATCCACCACAGTTTGGTGATTTTCTTGCTCAAAACAACTGATTCAACTCATCTGTTCATTACCAGGGTTTTATGAGTGGAACAATTACCAAACGGTGCTGGACACCAGCCCTTCAGGACGGGTGTTGAAGACCTCCTATGCTGTGAAGCATTAAACAGTTTTTCATAAAATCTTCATGGAAACATAGCTACTGTGTACTTAAACTGGCTGCAATGCATGCTATACAGTGTTCTTTACACCTTCACTACATATGTTGTGTAAGAGCTAATGCCATCTAATGCACTTTTATATATAGGCCTATGTTACCGTGCTCAATGCTATATTTGACATATCCTGACTGTAAGGTAGTATCGTAGATGGTAGGAGGTGGTTCTACATGATTCATATTCAAACCTCCACAACTGATTCACAGCTGATATCACTACACGACAATAAAACCCAAAGGCATAAGGAGCTTTGACTGCGCTGCCCACCATTGACGCCCAAATGCTGCTGATTTGTGGTTGGTCTTTTGATGTACAGCCACACTGAGCTCTTTCCTCTACTGTAGGTGGTCCTTTAAGCTTCATTCTGTACTCAGAGGGCTGAATGGTTGAGTCTTCAACAGAAACCTTTTTTGTTCAGCAAAGGGAATCGTTTCTAAGTAAACTAATTAAATAAACTAATCAAATTCAGAGCTCCACAAAGACCACCTGCACAGAAGGTCCAAAATACACAATGCACATCACCAAAACCATAAAGACGAATAGCCACACAGCACACAAATCCTTTGTACTCTAAATCTTTGACATTTTTGCAGCAGTGTTACCTCAGTTTGAGCCTTGTTATAAAAACTATTGTACTCATGGGCCAGAAGGAGGTTACTGAAGGACCATATCTGACTTGTATTATGTACCCCTGCGCTACAGGGCCAAGTTGTTGGCCTCTAGGCCTCCTTTTATGTACCCTTGCAGTACAGAGCCAGGTTGTTGGGCCCTAGGCTTTATTTTATGTACCCCTGCACTACTGGGGCAAGTTGTTGGACCCTAGGCCTCATATGATGTACCCCTGCATTACAGGATGAAGTTGTCGGACTCTAGGCCTCATATGATGTACCCCTGCATTACAGGATGAAGTTGTCGGCCCCTAGGCCTCATATGATGTACCCCTGCATTACAGGATGAAGTTGTCGGCCCCTAGGCCTCATATGATGTACCCCTGCATTACAGGATGAAGTTGTCGGACGCTAGGCCTCATATTATGTACCCCTACACTACAGGGCCAGTTTGTTGGCCCTTAGGTCTCATATTATGTACCCCTACACTACAGGGCCAGTTTGTTGGCCCTTAGGTCTCATATTATGTACCCCTACACTACAGGGTCAGTTTGTTGGCCCTTAGGTCTCATATTATGTACCCCTACACTACAGGGTCAGTTTGTTGGCTCCTAGGTCTCATATTATGTACCCCTACACTACAGGGTCAGTTTGTTGGCTCCTAGGTCTCATATTATGTACCCCTACACCACAGGGCCGTTTGTTGGCTCCTAGGTCTCATATTATGTACCCCTACACTTCAAGGTCAGGTTGTTGGCTCCTAGGTCTCATATTATGTACCTCTGCACTACAGGGGCAAGATGATGTCCTGAGAAGCACTGATATGGTCACAATGAGCTTCAACTTTATGGCATTTAATAATAATAATATCAGGTCTCATATTATGAACGCCTACAGTATAGAGGCAAGAAGAATGATGAAATAGCTCTACTTGCATTTTCAGAGATATAAATCCAAACAGGTCTCAACTGTGTTGAAACAGGACCAAGAACCAAGCCAACTTACACTAATTTGCACTCTGCTCCGCATGCTGAGCAATGTGTCACTGTACCATGCAAACACATGGCTTCACACACACACACACACACATAAACACACAGTATATGGGACAGGTCCCCTTCTATGTTTCCATAACTACACATCTACTGTATTCAGCCAAAAAAGCCACATACTGTCCTGGATAAAATACATGATACAGTGTCGATTCTCAGTGCGCATACATGCTGTCGTGCCCCTGCTGAGTTAAAGGAGGAGCCTGTACTGAAAGCACAGAGTGATACTCTGTGAGCTCATGGAATAGTGTGACATGTGGCCGGCGAGGCTCCTGTCCAACCTGGGCAGGAGATCACAGAGAAGCTGGAGCAGGTCCAAATGACACTTTTCATGCTTCTCACTCCAGCACAACGGGAGAAACAGATATACTGCGACAGTACAGCTTATCTTATACGCTTGTATTATGGCTTGTTTATCTTAAACAAGTATATGCTGCGTGCTGTGTGCATACACTGACATGATATCAAGTATGTGACTTAAAGGGGAATTTCACAGATTTTTCATCATTCCTGTATGTTTTGTATATTTCTATTGTCCAAGTGTGAAGTCATTCAAAGCTCAAAGTGGTTGAAATGGTTCATTATACATAAACCTACTGACATTCTTTACAGTGGTGGTGATCGGAACCAGAGGTTGTGATGTCTACAACACAAATATAGCCATTTTACGTACTATATATATGGCTGTGAGCATTTAAAATGTTTTAAAAATGTTTTTTTAAAGGTTGTGACCTATATATATATATATATATATATATATATATATAGGTCACAACCTTTAAAAAACATTTTTAAAACATGTTAAATGCTGACAACCATTCTGTTAAATAACTTGCCATGAGGGAGCTTTTAGAGCAATAAACTCTTCAGACGTCTGGTTCCTATCACCACCACTGTGAACGGTTCTGACTTGGTAAGTTTCTCTATTATGAATCATTTTCACACCAATGAATGACTCTGTTTGCATATCAAGGACAGAGTTATGCAGATTTTTTTTTTAAATCACCTTCTCAGCTCACTGCTCATACTGATATACTGTAGTCTTCCATTACATTCATATGAAATATTCAATATATGTCAGAGCACATTATGTTGTGACTGCTCATTGCTTAGAGATTATGATTGCTATCTCATGGTTTATGCCACTTCTACATATACTGATGCATTTGGAAAAGCCTCGCATTTGCTTAATACCTTAATGGATGAGAGACTGATTGCAGATACAGATTTTCATTCCAGTGTACTGGTTACTGATCAACGGTTGCCTTAAAGAAATGTACACTCCCTTTTCTACAAATATACCTGCATGATATATATATATATATATATCATCCTGGTATAATGTATGATGTACCATAGTGCATGGTATCCTGAAATGTACACACGCTTGAAACATATGTTTCTTATAGGGTTCTTCAGTAAAGGCAAAGGTTCTATTTAGAGCCATGAATTCTACATAGAACCATTTGATGCTAAAATGGTTCTTTGGATGTATCTCTTCATGCTTGGTTCTTTCCAACATGCTCATATACCCTCTTAAAAAAGATGGTTCTTCAAAGGTTCACTAGTAAATGCTTAAATGAATTCTTAAATGGTTCTCTGCATGGTGAAACGGTTCTTCAGATTGGTGGAGAATGTGTTGCATACGGCTCTACATAGAACCTTTTGAAAAATGGTTCTACACAGCACCAAAAAGGGTTCTGCTATTGTTAAGATGTCGAGCTTGTAACAACAGAAGAGCCCTTTTTGTCTCTATATAGAACCATATCATAAAGGTTCTGTATAGAACCATATACAGCACATTCTCCATTAATCCGGAAAACCATTTAAGCGAAATGAAACGCTTCTATATAGAACTCATGGTTCTAAACAGAACAATCCACACCTGAAGAACCAGCTTTCTGATGTGTGCATGATATATAATATGACGTCGTGGGTGGTTGTAAAACGTGACAGGAGGAGAGAGAGCCCCACCCATCCGCCAGCCAATGGAGTAATTACACAATCGTGTCTTAACCCATATAGACACCCCCCCCCACCTCATCCTCACGCTCTTCTAGAGCAGCCTATAGCTTTATCTCCCCCCACCCCCCACCTCCCCCCTTCTCCTTACCCACGAACATCACGCCTTCCTTAGTCTTCTCGGCTGCCACCGCGACGCCTTCCTTGGTTTTCTCCGCGGCCACCGCCATGCCTTCTTTCGCCTTGGAAAGCCCCTTCATGAACACGTCCATCCTGGCCCCCTCTGGGTTGGAACAGAGCAGCTGTTAGCGCTGATGCGCTGCCTTGCATTGCATTGCATTGCACTGGACTGCATTACATCAACGACGTGTTAATGGCAACCCATCGCCACCAGAGAGCCACGGTGGACAAAGATGCAATCAAAAGGAAATCTTATCAAGCTCAGTTATTTCCCCCGCGCGCACAGTGAGCCCCCCCACTCAGCCCCCCATTAAACCAAGATTCATTTTCTCCTCACTGACAGCCTTTAGAGGAACATCGTGTCCCTGAAACGGTTAACGTGCACCTGCTCATTAATTATTACTGAACGCAGTATCACTCCGGGTGAAGGGGAAGGAGAAAATCCTGTACACCTCCATCTAAAGCACAAGCTGATGCTGCCTCACGGTCACACATCCCTGCATTTTGATGAGGGGATGAAAAGAGACAGGGGAATGAGATCTGAGGCACATCTGAAACACGTTTCCTCTGTCACGACACGCTTGCTTTCTTAATTGTGCCCAAAAACGTTCATTTTCACATTCAGTATGGTGCCCTTACTGGAGCGCCCACTGGCTGCATCCACAGGGATGCAGGGCACGACTGGAACGAATTCAGCAACGGAATGAAGCGTTTTGTTTAATTCACCCAAGAAATTATTCACATCCATCACATTAACACTCAGCCTGTCCTTTAAGGCGCCCCGTCTGAATGTCCGCCTCCCTCCCTCCTTCACTCACATGCGGATTTATTCTGGATTTCAGTCTGCAGCCCTGATGAAAAGCCAGTTTGCTCACCTTTTTCAGACGCCTCTCGTGCCCCGTATGGCTGAGCTGCTGTGCAGATTCAGTGCTGGGTTAAAGGGACTGTGGCAGTGGAAGCTGTGCTGGGCCTTTTGCTCTCAGGGCGCTCAGCCAATGGCGACCGACCGTCTCAGAGCACCACCGTCAGGATCCGCCTCATTTTATTTCCCACCCGTATTCCGACAAACCCCGCCTCTTGTGGCATGATTGGCCAGTGCTGAGCTGTTTGCTTTGCTGAGATTGGCAGGCCGTCTCAGGGCAACTGCGCTTGGATTGGCCAGTAGTGTCTTACCTTTCCTCCTGCGCTGAGATTGGCTAATAATGTCCTGCCCTCTTCAATAGAATTGGCAAGTAAGATCCTCCCTTTTACACTAGAATTGGCTAGTAATGTCCTGCCCTCTGTACTAGTAGTGGTTAGCAATGTCCTGCCCTCTGTACTAGTATTGGTTAGTAATGTCCTGCCCTCCGCACTATGATTGACTAGTAATGTCCTGCCTTCTGTGCTAGTATTGGTTAGTAATGTCCTGCCCTCCGTACTAGGCTAGTAATGTCCTGCCCTCTGTACTAGGCTAGTAATGTCCTGCCCTCTGTACTAGTATTGGTTAGTAATGTCCTGCCCTCCGTACTAGTATTGGCTAGTAATGTCCTGCCCTCTGTACTTGTATTGGCTAGTAATGTCCTGCCCTCTGTACTAGTATTGGTTAGTAATGTCCTGCCCTCCGTACTAGTATTGGTTAGTGATGTCCTCCCCTCTGCACTGTGATTGACTAGTAATGTCCTGCCCTCTGTACTAGTATTGGCTAGTAATGTCCTGCCCTCTGTACGAGTATTGGCTAGTAATGTCCTGCCCTCCGTACTAGTATTGGTTAGTGATGTCCTGCCCTCTGTACTATGATTGACTAGTAATGTCCTGCCCTCTGTACTAGTATTGGCTAGTAATGTCCTGCCCTCTGTACTAGTATTGGTTACTAATGTCCTGCCCTCTGCACTATGATTGACTAGTAATGTCCTGCTCTCTGTACTAGTAATGGTTAGTAATGTCCTGCCCGCTGTGCTAGAATTGCCCAAGACATTCAAAACCTTTTGCTGTGGTAATGTGAACAGACCTTCACTTAGCCAGTGAGTAATCAGCTCACCAGCCAATCAGCACTCATAACAGAAACTGTACCGTCCTGCTGCCCAAAACCTGTTTTCTGTATAAAAACAGAAATATATTGGTAAGATCTCCTTTTTGGGCTGCGTCCATACAGCCAGGGGAGAACGGAATACAACATAACATTTTTGTTCTTTGCCAAAGTTATTTTAAAGTATTTGAGCAACATTCATGTCCACACAGAAGAAGAACCAGGGGGTGTCATATTTTGCTCAAGGAAAATGCTCTTTTATTGAACAAAGCAGAAAAGGCCACTGAATATTGGGTTATGGTTATTTCTCAGCAATTTGATGAGCAAAAGCTGCATTCAAATGTGCAAACTGCATAACTGTAAATGTAGTATGTTTGGTTTTGATTATAGTTGATGAATGACGGGAGTAATAACACAATTCATTCAAGCACCATCTCTGCATTTCCTCTGTTTTTTTTAATGATTGAGACTTGATGACTAGTGATGACTCCAGAGGCTAATCTTCTTATGAAGATGTCTTTGGATGAATTAATCCACATTCATTGACTAGCTGATAGTCTGAAATATAGAGGAAGCTATGGGCAATATGCTCAGCATGAGAACAGTGGACAAACATTGCCTCTATCTTCCATCTATTTCATCACTCATTCAGTGGGGAGAGGTAATGATAGAAGACAAAGGAAGCACAGTGTTCATTCAGTTTTTCACCCAGAAGCTGACACTATGTCAATACAGAGAGGCAAAGCCTGCAGATCGCTTTGATTGCAGTGAATAATCAATGAGAACCAAAACGCTCTTTCTGTACACCTTCCCTGCGGATCATTTTGGAAACATAGGCCTAAAATAAGCGCTCAGATCATTCTAGCCAAAATGGCAGTTTGAGATGAAGTGAAATCCAATCAAATAATTAACTTGATCATATTAGACTGGACATCTCAATTAGGCTGAATGAAAGTAGGAAGACGAGTCTGGTCATGTGCTTTTCTTCCATTTCTCATTTGTCATATTGTATTTGATGATTTCTGCAGTGAGGAACCCCCAGGGCCTTCTAGACCTTCAGAGTAGGCCTAATGATTCCTGTGAAATAAAAAAAAAATGTAATTTTTAATCTCAGACTTATTACATGCTAAGGCTTATCATTCAGTAACTACAGGGACTTCAGTGCAAACTGCCTGAGCTATTCTCAGATCATAGAAGTGTGTAATAAAACTTTGGGCTTGCCGATGAGCCTAGGCCTTTAACATTATTAGAATCATCATGTTAGTTATATTTAAACTCCCCAAGTATTGTAGTAATATTCTCATTTCACTGTTCAATTTTGGCACCAAAAGGGTTAAATTCTTGAATGAGTGATGGAAAATAATCCAATTAGGATGATAAAGCCCAGCGAGCTCTCCCATTGGTTAGGACTTCAGGAGCTGAACTGAAGGCCTAACATGTCAGATTAACCATTAATATAAGTAGGAACGTGACAGTGGAATGAACCAATCACATTTTGATTTACAATAAGTGGAAGGACTAGAGAAAATCTAGAAGATCACTCTAGACCTTCTGAAAGTTCTAGATAAGTCACTGACTGAGTTTGTTAGAAATGGAAAACAGTGGCAGCTGCTCTATGTCAGGATGACTGAAGGGGTCAACAAAGCTGCTACCAGGTAAAATATAGGTCAATATGTCTGTAAGAAGATTCAGATGTTCATGTTTGATGTAGAAAAGCTTGAAATGTTCATGTGACTTGCTGTTAGCTTTGTGCTAACATACTACTAGAATCCCACAGAGAGTTTGCAGAAATTAGCATTATCATAACAGGGTTTTGTCCTCGTTTTGACATTCATGGTCCGAACAGAACCAAACCTACCTGTAATAGTTATAGTTCACCACTGAATTGCTGCAGTATATTACAGAGATACTAAGAGGTCAAAATTAAAAGCTGGAACAATTCAGAGACTGGGAGGTACAAGGTGTCTAACAATGTCACACACAAAGTTAGGAATTACACAAAAGATAACCCTCATCTCTCAAATGACTACCAGTGTCAGTCTGTGTTTTATGATAAAAATATGGAACATAAAGTTGCTATACTGATTTAGGTATCGCATGTCCACTTTGAGCTTTTCTTTTTTTAAATATCATCCCTGACAGAAAAACCTTATATCTCCAAAACCTTACAGGGAAAAAACAAACATTCTTAACTTTGAATTGAAGTCAATTTAACAAGATTTATCAGCATTTTTGGATTTCATCAGCATTTCTATCGGTCCATTCATGATGAAATTGAAAACGTCAGCTGTCTTTTTAAACATTGAAATAATCGTTGTTCAAATGTTTCACTGTTCAAATGTTACCAAAAGTTTGATTTTTAAGAGGTGACTTTTTAATACACTTTAACACAGTGCACGGATTCAGCACACTTTCTGTTTAAGCTCACACACACGTCATACATGTTGAAGGGACACTCAAATGGGAAACATTAAAAGTTTAACCACTGCTAAATCCGTTGTAAACGTGCCTCTTACAGCAGTTCCACCGTAGTCTTCATCCGAGATCTCCTGTTTTCAAGTCTAGGAAATGCCCCCTTTGATGATGTGTCTTGAAGTTATGAATTTTGAAGTGCTTTAGGGTGGAGGGTGGGGTGGGCTGCATGATTTTTTTTCTTCAGCTGGCCAATTCTTTAACTGAATTGTTCTCTTAACCCCTTAAATGGCCACCAGTGGGCCCAAGTTTTATTACACACTTCAATAACCTAGAAATAGCTCAACCAGTTTGCACTGAAGTCCCTGTAGTTACTGAATAATAAGCCTTAGTATGAAATAAGCCTGGGATTTTAAGAGGTTAACAAAGAAAAAGTTTGTCGACCATTGAGGTTAATGCTACACCACTAATGCTAGTGAGCAACACTGATTATTAGCCTCTAGGTCAGAGGCTATCAGTCAGGACTTGTTGAAGAGTGTAGAGATTCTCAATGGATGTTTAATGCATTTGTGCAATGCATGCTGGGTATTGTAGTGGGACAATATCTATAAATGTTAACACAAAATTGCAAAAAATGGCGAATCTGTCAAACCAATGGGGTTGAAGTGTGCAGTGCTGCACTACAGAATACTGTATTACATGAACAACATAGCATTTTAACAGAGCCAGTGTTAACGTTAACTGGTTAAGTGCTAGTTTGAATGTACAAAAATTCATACTGGCACTCTCCAAAATCCTGTGGAAAGGCTTCCCAGAAGAGCGGAGGCTGTTACAGCTGCAGAATCTCCATATTAATGCCGTTAGTTTTGGACATTGGTGTTAATCTAATTCACATAGATGTTATGGTCTGATGTCCACAAACTTTTGGCCATATAGTGCTCTGTGGTGAAAATACCAGGGTCACTGTCAGAAATGTGCATTATCATAGCTATTACATCGCTAAGCTTAAGCGAATTCATGCATTTAACATTGCATTGTAATGGCATACACTCTGCTCTTAGCTCACAGTGTAAACGAATGATTTGTCTGCTCACGCTACACCAGAAGCTCTGTCTATAAATCAAGTCCCTCAAAGCTTCATTATGAGCATGAATAATATGGATAGCCTTTCGCTTTAATTGAAAGAAATCATTCGTGGTGTGATATTTCATGATCCTGCAATGGTCTTTGGGCTGAGACACTTTGAGAACATAAGCCCTGATCTTTGCTCAGTCAACAGCCTATTAACGTTGAGTCACTAACATCTGAACCTCAAGCCCATAATTATCCCTGATTAAGGACTATTTGTCCAGATGATCATCCCCTAAAGGAAGAGGAGATAGACAGCTGTGTGGCTTAAGGCTGGTTGAATTGTCTTCTTATAAAACTGGACCTTTTGAAGATTTCATAGCCAGTCTTTGAGGTCATTTTCTATGGTTGTGGTATTAAAAGTAATACATTACATGTCCAAAAGTGTGTAGACACCTGCTCATCCCATGTTTCTCCTGAAATCAAGGCTATTAATAGGGAGTTTATCCTCCTTTGCTGCAGTAACAACCTCTACTCTTCTGGGCATACTTTACACTAGATGTTGGAACACTGCTGTGAGGATTTGATCGAGCATTAGTGAGGTCAGGTACTGATGTTGGATGATCAGTTCTGGATCACTTCAACTCATCCCAAAGATATTGGATGGAGCTTTCATCACTGCAGAGAACACAGTTGCACTGCTCCACAGCCCAGTACTGGGGACTTTATTCCCCTCTAGGTGATGCTTGCCACTGGGCATGGTGACAATGTGTGTCTGATCCAGCTTGTCTCATTCTATTGGTCAGTGCTTTTCTAAGGAGATTATGCAAGTTGTGTGTGCATCATTGAAAGCCTATATTACCAACAGGTGCACTTCAAAGTAGCTTAATTTATTAATTAGAAGACACCAAAACCCAAATATTACTTTGGTGGTTTGAATAAGATTTGCTGTAAAATGTGTAAGCAGTGTTAAAAAGTAAGAGAAAGGATAGTTTTGTTAGTCTAGAGTAGTCCTACATGTTTCTAACTAAGTGACCTAATGTTTTTACTATGATAAAACCTGTATTAATATTTGAGTATAAGCAGGGTAAGAGTTACTGAGAGGACCACAAAGCAGTTTACCCATAAGGGGTAACTATAACTTTTATTTTATGCTTTATTACTTCACTGTAGACAGCATGCTTCTCCAAAACTGGCAGGTAGTGGACACAAGGATGCAAAGAGGCCTATGTCATTTAAACAGTCACTGTAACAGGCAGCAGGCAGAATTAGAGATCAATATGGATTACATCAGCATAATAATGAACATTAGAATATACCTTAGGATGAAAACATCAGTAACTGACCTGTTAGATCACTGAGGCTAGGAGGGTGTAAAACTATACACAGATGAGCAAAACATCATGACCACTCACAGATTAAGTGGACAACCTTGATTATCTGGTAACAGGGGTTCATGCTAGGGTCTGGTATATATTAGATGGTAGATGTTGGATGTGGGAGAAATGGGCAGGTGTGAGTACTTGCGTAACTTTTACCAGAGCCAAATCATAATGGCCAGACGACTGGGTCGGAGCATCTCCGAAATGGCAAGGCTTGTAGGGACCTCCCAGCCAGCAGTGGCAAATACCTACCAAAAGTGGTCAGAGGAGGGACAAACCACAAACTGGTGCAATGTTCTGCCAGAACTGAGCAATGTTCAGCTGGGAAACCCTGGGTCCAGGCATTTATGAGGACATCAGTTGGACACATGCAGCCTACATAAACATTGTTGTGGGGTACACCCCTTCCCAGATGGCAGAGGCCTCTTTCAGCAGGGTAATGCACCCTGCCACACTGCACACATTGTTCAAGAATGTCTTGAGGAAGATGACAATAAGTTGAAGATGTTGTCCTGGTATCCAAATTCCCCGGATCTCAATCCCACTGAGCATCTGTGGGATGTGCTGGAACAGCTAGTCTGATCCACAGTGGCTCCACCTCATGACTTACAGGACTTAAAGGATCTGCTGTTAATGTCTTGGTACCACATACCTTAAGAGGTCTTGTGAAGTCCATGCCTTGGCAGGTCTGAGCTGTTTTGGCAGCATATTAGGTGGGTGGTCATAACGTTTTGGCTCACCAGTGTATGTTTATAAGTGGAAAAATGACCTGTTTTGAAACAGCACAAATTCATCTCTGCAACAGAACAACAGGTCTACATCTTCTTCTGGAGGCTGGCTTATAATATCCACATCACTTATACACACAACATCAACAGCTTGGAGCACAGGTCAGTTTTGCCAGTTTAGTTTTAGGTCATCAGACATGGCAGCATTTCTTGATGAATAGCTCCATCTGCTGTTTCAGAAAGGACACTACTACTCCTTTTCAAGTCCTTGGATTTACAAAATATGGACCTGCAAAGCTGACCTGGGGTCATCTTACAGCTTTTATATGACACCGAATAGAATTATATTAACTGTTGAAACTTGATTTTAGATCAGTGTTCTTACTTTGAAATGCTTGATAAATATGGGCCATTGTTTACATAATGTGAACAGCCTTCTGTCTATGTAAGGTACACTATACCATGTCCAAATATCCAGACAGCTCTTCCAGTTAGTGAATTCAGCTCCTTTAAGGTCACCCATTGCTGACCCAGGTGTTCAGTTGTGCACACACAGCTTGTATAATCTCCACAGAAAAACACTGAACAATAGAACGGGAAGCTCTGGAGCAGCCAAACGAGTCCAATGCCAAGCGCCAGCTAGAGAGAGGATATATCTATTTCTATACAGAAGTAGACTTACGTGACAACACATGAACATTTCCATTAAATATGTACTAAATTAAATGATGGTATGGCTATCTATGTGACTGCACAAGTGTGGAAAATCTTTTATCAGTAAGGCTGGGCAATTTGAAAACATTTATAGTTATTATGATAAATTATGTCACAAATCTATTTTCTTATTGTGGATTTCATCGGCACTTAGAAACACTGCATCTTTAATTACAAAAAGAGTACAATTTAACTGGCTTTACTGCAGTACAGTATGTGAAATACAAATAATTGAGTTCATAGTTCTGATTGTGTTTTTTAAATGTGGCACCACTGTCTGTTCCAACTTATCAGATATCAGAGAAAAATATTGTGACATATCATGTATCGTGAGAAATACTTGAAGTATCATGACATTACATTTTTGTCACATCACCCAGCTCTAGTTGTCTGCTACTGATTAGCCCACTACAAATTCCTTGTATTTGCAAACATACTTCCCTACAAAGCCTGATTGTGATTCCACAGGGGATAAAATTTAGGTTCAACATTTCCTACAAGTTAGGGGATATGAAGTTCTTCAAACTGTATATTGAGTCAGCAAAAAAGATGTTTACACAAATTAGACAGGTTTTATATTCATAGTCGCATTGCGTGCACAAGGCTGTAATTTGCTGTTGGATGTTGGTATTGTTACGTGACATAATAAAGACAAAAGAAGGTCAGTTGATCAGTTAGAGGCTAAGACAAAGAATATGTCAAATGAAATAAATCAGTTTTGGAAATATTCAAAGAATGCCTAGATCAAACGTTGTCACATCACTGAGAGAAAATCAGGCTGATGACACAGGTGAGCATCAATAACAAACACTGTATTAATGTCAGACCAAGCAAGATTACAACAGTTGTGAAAGATGAAGATGCAGATAAACAAAGTGAAAAGTTATACAATTCTGTAGGAAAAAACATCAGATAATTTGATAGCAAAGTGGTATTTCTATGGGAGCAGACATACTAAGACAGAGAGAGATTCAACATGGAGCAAACATTTCTGTTAACACGACACTAGACACACAATTAACCTATTTTAGCAATTACATATGGAGCAAAGCATTATCTTTTCTTCAGCCCTGTTTTATATGCGCAGAGGGAGCGTCTCCTTTAATCAGTGGTGAGCTGAGTCTCTCCCTGCTGTCCAGCCTGACTGCCAGGCTCGATTGTAGACCACTCTAAATGCAGCCACTGTAGCCAGGAGAAAGACCAGAGCAGCCAGACCAACCCCACCAAACATCAGCGCTCTCTCTACCACACTCACTCCGCCTGGAGAGAGAGAGAGAGAGAGAGAGAGAGAGAGAGAGAGAGAGAGAGACAGTGAGAGTCAGAGACAGAGTGCTATTCCTATACATTGGTGTTCAAAAAAATGCGTGTGGATTTGGTATTGATTGTATTAATGTGCTGTTATTTTGTGGTGGATTTGCTGTGGAAAAGTGTTTTTCATTTGTGATTTTGGCTCATTATTTGGTGTTTATTTGTGTGTGACTGTCTAACTTTATTGAAAATGTGCTGCCAATAACATCAGACTTTGCATTCATGATGGACTAAGAAGAAATTTACCCTAAAACAGATTTACACAGTTTTTAAAAAAAAACTTAGCAAGATATTGGTGAATGAAGCCCAATGTTTGCAACCAAGACAGTCAGGTATCACTTCGTTTTTATCTAAAATTGATGCATAACACGTTGATTTCTGTGGGATGTTCTCTCTATTAGAGCTAAGCGATTGTCTGTAAATTACATCGCAAGTGGCAATCACTGGGGGTCCAAGCACAAAGGAGCTCTTAGAGTTATAGGGCTCTTAGAATTTGAAAGCATTTATCTGGCCCCTGAACAGGAATCGGGCCCCATTATGACCCCACCTAAAAAAAAAATCCTAGAATCTCCAGTGCTTCTGACATTTGTTTTTGTATGTGTGATATACTGTATGCTTTTCCCAATAGTGAGTTCTTTGTAATCTCCTGAAAAATATTTAAAAAAGAAAAGGTTCCAGGAGGAAGCAGGAAGAAGCTGGCTTTAAGGATCTGGTGGCTTGGCCTGGCTCCATCATTCATCATCCTTAACTACTCCCTTTTTTCATTAATAGCTTAAACGCATTGTTCTGTAATAATAATATACTGAGCCTTGCTTGAAATGTGAACATCTTTCCAAACTGTAAAAAATATTATTTTTATGGTGGTCAGTTCCGATCAGAGGCACGGATGACGTGTCTTCGTTAACCTACATTACCTGTGTGGTGCTACACCATGTATGTCTATTCAAAGTATCTATGGTTTACTAAAACGAATGAAGACATAATACCTATATACATACATCATCTAAACCGCTTATCCTTCTGGGTCACGGTGGGGTGCTGGAGCCTAACCCAGCTGTCATTGGGCAGAAGGCAGGATACACCCTGGACAATCGCAGGGCAGACAGACAGATACTCTCACACCTAGGGGCAATTCAGCATGTCAAAACCACAGCATGACTGTGGGAGGAAACCGGAGTCCCCCACGCAGACACGGGGAGAACATGCAAACTCCACACAGAAAGGACCCTGGTCGCCCGGCTGGGAATCGAACCTAGGCCATTTTTGCTGTGAGGCGACAGCGCTACCCACTGCACCACCGTGCCGCCATGAAGACATAATGCAAAATAATAATCTTTTTTGTACAAAAGATGGCGTCATTTGAGTGAAAAGTGGAACGAGGACCAGGATACACACCACTGGCAAGTTGCTACAGTCTCAGAGTGCCGTTTACAATCACTACTTGGACAGGCTTGAGTACACGCAGCTGGCTTTGATTCTTTGCGCGTGGTGGTGTGTAATACCAGTGGAGTAGAAGATGTTGGGTCCCTCTCTGTTAAGCTACGCACTTAAAAATGATGGTTCTTCAAGGGTGCTTTAGTAAAGAAAACAGTTCTATATAGAACCCTGAGCATTCAAAGAACCTTTTCCATGTTTGAAGGGTTCCGTGAATCATGAAAAGGTTCTGCAGATTGATGGAGAATGTGCTGTAGATGTTTCAGTATCGATCCTTGTTGAAAATGGTTCTACAGCACCAAAAAAGCTTCTTTTATTATAACAAGCCTGACATCGTAACAATAAAGGAAACCTTTTTGGTGCTATATAGAACCATTTTCTTTACTAAAGAACCCTTGAAGAACCATCATTTAGGCTACCGTTACTAGAATGAGAACTACATTTAAGCCAATGGGATATCTTATTCTTTTGGCTTCTGCTTCAAAACTGTTGGCTGGAGTTAATTCAAAGGCTGAAGAATTATATACTAGTCTTTTATATATAGCCTTTTTCTTGTCTCATGGACAGGTGTATGCCCACGTGCAGTGATCCGAGGATGGAAAGATCGCAAACACCCCCTGTGTAATCTGGACTGCTCTCTGGGATTCTCAAGTCTCCTTTTTTTCTCAAATATATACATTTTTAATGGTTGTTTATTACTTCTTTCTTCTACTTTCTCTCTAGTTTTTCATTCTTTTAAATGATCTTAGTGAAAGAGTAAAGAAATAAATCCTTTGTAACAGCTTCTGCCTTCCGTCAAGTTACTGGACCAATTGAATCTATACTTTTATAAATTGTTGGCTATTTTGGGTGGTTGGTAGTGTTTAAGTAGTGGTTTTCTTGCTTTATTTATGAATGAATGTCCTAGCAATTGGCTCTCTTTCTTAATTGGTGTATTTGATGCTATTTAATGTATTATCCTACTCATTTGGTATAGTTTTAAAAAATACTATATACCATACTTCCACCTTCCCTTTAAACATTCGTCATTTATTTTTACAGCTTCCTACAAATTATGATTATTTTATACTATATTATATGTATCAGCAACAATATTGGGTTCATATGATTGAAAAAAAGCAAATTAATGCAATAAAGAGATTCACATTCCCACAGTTAATGTGTGCACATTATGGTAATTATGTGTTTATCCTGCACTGCCTTGTCTCATAAATGTCTCATGTCTCATAAATTGTACTTGTCTTGCACTTCTTAAACTGCACTAAACACTGACATGTTAGTATATATTTAATGTTCACTGTGTACTGTAACTGTGTATAATAAGAGATGACAAATTCAACTTCAACTAATAGAAATGCTTCAGAATTACTTGGAATTAAATTGTTTTACATTAACTTGCATTATAAGGTAAGAACGTTTTTGCCTTCACCTGTAAAGTTACTGTTTTGGAGATTGTTCTTTTTTGGACAATATAAATATGTAAATCCTATAACGAAAAACTTGGGACAGTCAGTAAAAAGTAAATAAAAACAGAAAGTAGAGATTTATAAATATACTTTGACCTGTACTTAAGCAAAAGCATTCAGTACAAAGACAAGATATTTCATGTGTTACCTTTAAAATGTCATTGTTTTTTGTAAATATACATGTATTCTGAAATTGACACTCGCAGCAAGTTCCAAAAAAATCGGAACAGGGATAATTTAAGACTAGGAACAGTGTGAAATGTTAAAAAAAAATCTTGAACAGGTGACTCAATAATGCTTGGGTATAAAAAGAGCATCCAGGAATGGCCGAGTCCTTCATGAGCAAGGATGAGTCACGGCATTTTTGGTACCACTTTACCAAAACCGCATTAGTAAAAAATCCAACAGTTAAAAAAAATAATGTTCTTCAGTAAGCGAGATCAAGTTTATCTGTAATGGACTGATGCACAGTGGAAACATATACATATTGTGGTCTGATGAGTCCACCTTTTACCATTCAGATGTTTATGAAAATAATGGACATTGTGTTCTCTGGGCCAAAGAAGAAAATGACCATCCAGATTGTTACCAGCGTCTGTCGTGATATGGGGGGATGTTATCAGGTAACTTGCACATCTGGGAAAGAGCCTATAACGCTGAACACTATTTGGAGCAACATATGATACCTTTATGATGCTGATGATCTTATTCAGGGACACTTATTTCAACATGACAACTACAAGAAACATTCTGCACATGTTACAACAGCATGGCCGCATAATCAGAGAGGTAGGTGCTAAACTGGCCTGCCTAGAGTCCACAACTATCTCACATTGAAAACCAAGGCCCCTATGTTTTACTTGTATAAGAGAAGAATGTAAAAAATTCAGTTTTTAAAACTGGATCAGTTTCATAAGGTAAAAAACTATTGTGCTTTTATACCATTTTCAGTTTACTACAGGTTATTAGCATGAATATATCCAGAAATTTGGAGTTTGTGTGTGTGCATATATTTATATACATACATATATATGTATTATATATATATATATATATATATATATCTATATATATATATATATTATATATATATATGTGTGGTGTATATATATATATATATATATGTGTGTGTGTATATATATATATATATATATATGTGTGTGTGTATATATATATATATATATATATATATTATTTACCAGTGTGCTTCTCTTCTTCTTTTTGCGATGCTTCTTCCAAGTAATCTTTTCCCTTTTCACCTGTAAATATGCACAATGCATGAGACAAATTTTTAATCCTTTCTATTAACACTATTAAAATAATGGTATAGTTTGATATAGAAAAGCAAGAGAAAACAAAATGCTAAAAGAGGTACTAACTTTGAAATTGCAGTCTGGTGGCTCTCTGCATTTGTGACCAGCAGCTGTGGTCTCACAAAAATAGAGTCCCAAATCAGCCCTCTCTGACCCCAATTATGGTTAGGTTGGTCATGGTGATCTCTCTGTCTGCTGTTAGTTTGAAGCGATTCTTATCTTCATTATGTTGCATCAAAAGGCTTTTCCCAATTTCAGCTCTCACAGCACGAATCAGAAGTGTGGTCTTATCTGAGCTTTGTCGGTACCATGCCACTTCACTGCTGGTAGATATGTTGCAGAAGGACAATGTAATGTTTTCTTCTGGTCGAACTGTAAGCTCCACTGTAGCTGTGGACATTACACTTGTATCAGAAAGACTTAATTATTAAGTATTTAATAAAGGCAACAGTTGTATATAGAACCATGAACACTCAAAGAACCATTCACATGTTTAAAGGCTTCTTAAATAAATTATATTTTATATGTCATATAAAGAACCCTTTATTATATTTTCTTTTTGAAAAGAGTTCTATATAGTACCAAAAAGGGTTCTGCTATTGTTGCAATGTCAAGCTTAACAGTAGAAGAACCCCTTTTGGTGCACTATAGAACCCTTTAAAAAAATACAATATAGGGGTCTTTAAGAAATATAAAAGGGGTCTATAAGAAATATAAAATATCATAAAAATATATAGAACCATATACAACACGTTCTCCATCAATCTGAAGAAAGATTTCACTATGCAAAAAACTCTTTAAGCCTGAAAATGGTTCTTCGCGTGTTCATGGTTCTTGATTGTGGTCTTATTGGTTTTCTGTTGTCTTTAATAAAGAACCCTTGGAGAATCATCTTTTTTAAGAGTGTATCTCAGTGTAGTCTCTGGAAATATTGTTATTGTTTTCAAACAGTACAAATGTCTTATACAATTATAGCTGTTTAAACATAAATGCTTTAAGGCAATTTGGTTCCTTGAAACCATTTCAGTTTACTTTACTCATCAGGTTTTACACTGTAGGAGAAAAAAGGAAACACTTACCGCTATGAATTATTTGCAAAATCATACAAAACAGCAGACACAGACAGAAATGAGACATCCTGCTTAGCACAAATAGACACAACATGTACCTCATACAGAGGAACAGACCACAACAGAAAGTCCCTCCTGTCCCACAGCTGCTTTTCAAAGAACACATCTACTGCAAGCCAAGTGACAGAGATGAACAGAGAAAAATGTATTTAACTATGATATTTGATACATTTCAAAGAGATCTGAACTAACTGGACTTAGAAAATGATTAGCGTGTGTTTATTTAAAAGGAAATGTGTGGTGAATAAAACATTGTGCTAATGCTTAACATCTGCATAGATTTGAGCTCATATGTGGGTTGTAGATGTGGTACAGCATAGACTATTCAGGAAGGAAGCATTAACAGCAGCAGCATAAAAAGTGGTCTTCTGCGCTTTCCTTTACTTGTCTATGATATGAAGGCAAATCTGGCCAAAAAAGAAATTAAAACTAAAACAATAAAACGTAGATGCAAACCTCTTTTTGTCATTTCTTTTTCCGAACATCTGTGCAAATATCCTGCCAAAATTGAAAATGAAATGAAATACCTACATTTGCAATTTAAATTTTCACATAAGAATGAGTCATTTGTGACAAAAAAAATAAAATAAAACAGCTATTTGTCATTTCATCTTAGTACTTATTCTGGTATTTCATGGTTATATCTAAAAAGCTAATAGAGGGAAGAAAATCCAAGCTTCACTTTGGCTTTTCTTCATGAAATGCAGAATACAGTGGTGTGAAAAAGTGTTTGCCCCTTCCTGATTTCTTATTCTTTTGCATGTTTGTCACTATTAAATGTTTCAGATCACCAAACAAATTTAAATATTAGACAAAGATAACACAAGTAAACACAAAACGCAGTTTATAAATGAAGATCTTTATTATTAAGGGAAAAAGCCTACAGGGCCCTGTGTGAAAAAGTGATTGCCCCTAAACCTAATAACAGGCTGGGCCACCCTTAGCAGCAACAACTACAATCAAGCGTTTGTGATAACTGGCAACAAGTCTTTTACAGCGCTGTGGAGGAACTTTGGCCCACTCATCTTTGCAGAATTGTAATTCAGCCACATTGGAGGGTTTCCGAGCATGAACCGCCATTTTAAGGTCATGCCACAGCATCTCAATCGGATTCAGGTCAGGACTTTGACGTGGCCACTGCAAAGTCTTAATTTTATTTAATGTTTACTTGTGTTATCTTTGTCTAATATTTAAATTTGTTTGGTGATCTGAAACATTTAATATAGTGACAAACATGCAAAAGAATAAGAAATCAGGAAGGGGCAAACACTTTTTCACACCACTGTATGTGTCAAAACTAAAATCAAAATGCAATGTTTACATTGTTATTTCTTTTTCACAGCAATTGACTGCATATCTGACGAAATGAAAATGCAAAATGGATAAACCCACAGCAAAGTGACAGTTTGTGATTCAGTTTTCAGTGTGGACACGCTTTAAGTTTCAGAATGAAAAGGCAAATGCAAACGAACACAAGTGCCACTTGCTGGAGGTTCAGTTTTCATTTGCCACTTTGCTTTATTGTTTTCAAGTTGACCAACATGCAAATATATGTTAATTAACACTAGGTGGGGCCAGGCTCTGGGTTACAGGGTACATTTTAGGACATCCTCAGACCTCAGAGTCAGACCGGCATGTTGGTTAACTTGAAAATGAAAAAGCGAAATAGGAAATGAAAAGTAAATCACCAAAGCGTGTCCACGAAAAGTGTCATTTTGCGGCTGATTTATCCATTTTGTATTTTCATTTTGTCAGATATGCAGCCTATTGCTATGAAAAAGAAATATGACCATGAAATACCAGAATAATGATTAAAATGAAATGACAAATAGCTGTTTTAAATGTATTTTTATTTTTTCACGAATTACTCGTGCTTAGGTGAAAAATGAAATTTCATTTCATTTCATTTTCAATTTGGCAGGATATTAGTGCAGACGTCTGGAAAAAGAAATGGCAAAAAGAGGTTTGCATTTACATTTTATTGTTTTAATTTTAATTTCTTTTTTGGCCAGATTTGCCTCCCATAGTATGAAAATGAAAACTCACTGTTGAGTTACAGGAGGCTGATTATTCAGGAGGGACAAACTTCCCTTAAATTTTAAAACTTAAATTTGTAGAGAAATGTAAACTGTAGACGAGATCTTACTTGCCTGAATATATTAGCCCAGCCTGTCACCTAATAAAATGCAGCTCAGGCCTCATTTATAAATGACTCGTACACACGGATTTAATCTTAAAATGGTGGTACGTCACAATTCACATTTAAGTAATGATTCGTAAAATGGGATTTCCAAATGAAAATGTGTGTAGACTGACCCATGGCTCCAACCTGACGTCCAAACTTTTGGCTAATTAGTCGCTGCTACAGGATACGTATGAAGTATGTATCTGTTTGTCTTTCTGTCTGTCACTTTACCACATGTGCTCCATTGTTTCAGAACACCAACACCTACGCAAGATCCCTGAAGAGGATAACTCAACTATACATTTCAAGCATGTTAACACAGGAATCACTGGAAATGACCAGCTATTAAATTGCTGACACTGGAAATGACCAGGGTATCAGATGTTTAACGCAGGAAATGACAAGGTACTCAATTTCTAACACTGGAAAGGACCAGGTCTCAAATTTCTAACACTGGAAATGACCAGGTCTCAAATTGCTAACACTGGAAATGATGATGTATCAAACGTCTAACACTGGAAATGAAAAGGCATTTAAATTGCTAACAATGGAAATGACCAGGTCTCAAATTGCTAACACTGGAAATGACCAGGTCTCAAATTGCTAACACTGGAAATGATCAGGTATCAAATTGCTAACACTGGAAATGACCAGGTATTAAAATGCTAACACTGAAAATGACCAGGTCTCAAATTTCTAACACTGGAAATGATGAGGTATCAAATGTCTAACACTGGAAATGACCAGGTCTCAAATTGCTAACACTGGAAATGACCAGGTATTAAATGTCTAACACTGGAAACGACCAGGTCTCAAATTGCTAACACTAGAAATGACCAGGTATTAAATTGCTAACACTGGAAATGACCAGGTATTACATTTCTAACACTGGAAATGACCAGGTATTAAATTGCTAACACTAGAAATGACCAGGTATTAAATTGCTAACACTGGAAATGACCAGGTATCAAATTGCTAACACTGGAAATGACCAGGTCTCAAATTTCCAGGCACTGGAAATAACACATCAAATTTCTAACACTGGAAATGACCAGGTATTACATTTCTAACACTGGAAATGACCAGGTATTAAATTGCTAACACTAGAAATGACCAGGTATTAAATTGCTAACACTGGAAATGACCAGGTATCAAATTGCTAACACTGGAAATGACCAGGTCTCAAATTTCTAACAATGGAAATAACACATCAAATTTCTAACAATGGAAATGACCAGGTCTCAAATTTCTAACACTGGAAATAACACATCAAATTTCTAACAATGGAAATGACCAGGTCTCAAATTTCTAACACTGGAAATAATGAGATATTAAATTGCTAACATGGGAAATGACCAGGTCTCAAATTGCTAACACTGGAAATGACCAGGTATTAAATTTCTAACACTAGAAATGACCAGGTATCAAATTGCTAACACTGGAAATGACCAGATATCAAATTTCTAACACTGGAAATGACCAGGTATTAAATTGCTAACACTGGAAATGACCAGGTCTCAAATTTCTAACAATGGAAATGACCAGGTATTAAATGTCTAACACTGGAAATGACCAGATATTAAATTGCTAACACTAGAAATGACCAGGTATTAAATTGCTAACACTCGAAATGACCAGGTATTAAGTTTCTAACACTGGAAATGACCAGGTCTCAAATTGCTAACACTGGAAATGACCAGGTCTCAAATTTCTAACACTAGAAATGACCAGGTATTAAGTTTCTAACACTGGAAATGACCAGGTATTAAATTTCTAACACTGGAAATGACCAGATCTCAAGTTTCCTTTACTGACATTAAGACCTCCACCTCTATTTGTAATGTAGTTATCATTTCAAATACAAGAGGCTTCATTATGACATGATGGCACTATACAGAAACAACATCAGCAAGTCTATTTGAGATTACTTAGTAACTTGACATGGTTGGAGTGCAGGGCCATAATCAGGACCAATATTTTAGTTAGGGCCATTCTGCAGAAATGTGTGACAAACTATTTTTCACCCTCATAGATACTCACACTCATAACACATATAGTACATTTATACCATTGCCCCAATAAATTACCCCCTAATGCCAAGTTCAACGCCAACTCTTCAGTGTCATCTCCAGTTCCAAGGAACCTTTTTTTTTCAGAAGATCATTTGATTTCTGTGTTCGCAGTCAAAAATATGTGATTTTAATTATACAGCAGGCTATGAAGTCTGCTTTAATTATGGACTTATAGATGCAGTTTTCTGAATACATATTTAGAAATCTTTATGACCGTGTTCTCCACTCTGGTCCTGCAGGCCTGCCCCTGTTCTTTTTAGTGTTTGTCCTTGCTCTAACAGACACTTCAACTCAAGAAGGACCTGGCAATGAGGTAATTCTTGTGTCTCCAACACTGTAAATTGACTTAAAGTTCTTCAATAGGATCTGTCTGATGCAGGTGTGACTATGCAGAATCAAAAATCCAGACAGATCTGACTCATGTTATGAAAGGACAAAAAAGGCATTCAGATTTACTAAGAAAGAGCACTTTCTACAAATACAAGAATTTCAAAATGTGCAGTTCACAGTGTGCCATAAACTACACTTTCTCAATAGCCAGTACAGGTGGGCAATATCCTAAAAATTAAATATCATGATATTTCAAGAAATCTGATAAGTTGGAAGAGACAAAAAGGAACCAATAGTGCCACATTTAAAAAAAAAGTACCAAAAACTATGATTACAAAGATTTGTACTTAACATTTCACACCCTACACTACACTAAATCCAGTGAACCAGGACTAACAATGCTTTCATTGTAATGAAACATGCTGTTCACTTTTATTTAA